TCCGGGCACGTTTGGAGCAAGAAAACGAGAAAACGGAGCGAAAAAGTCAGACGCACGGTCGTGCGTTTGGGACGCACGATCGTGCGTCCATTATTAAGCCGCGATGAGGCTTCTGCCTGCTACGCACGATCGTGCGTAGGCAGGGACGCACGATCGTGCGTAGCCCCGTGCCACGCGCGGAAAAATCCTATTTCGGCCCAAATTCGGTTTTTTCCCCCTTTTTCTATAAATAAGGCCTCCCTAACCCTTTTTGAGGGTTACGAACATTACGGAGAGGCCTAGGGACGAACTTAACACCGTTTTTACGCTATTTTCTTCCAAGACCCTGGGATTATTTGTAAGTTCATCTTTTTAATTAATGACAATTATTTCTATTCATCTCAATTCTGTTGATTCTTCAATTATGAATTGTGAGTAGTTTAATTAGGGATTTGGGGTTGATGAAGGGGTTAATCATGATTGATGGCTAGATTCTTGTTGGTTTAATTGCATGAATGCCGTTTAATTTGTGTATGAATAATTTAACTGATATCTCTTGTAACCTAGATGGCCACTAGAATTACAATTGCTTATAGAATAAATTAAGAGAGATCTAATTTGTTCTAGGACACATTCACACACACTTAATCGTTCGCTAAGAGATTAGTAGCGATTAAGGAGCCGTAAGCTCGCTCGTCTTGGCAATAATTTAGGATCTTGTCGCATGAGAGATCAGCCTGGTCCCCTAAATTATTGTACTCTACGCCGCGAGAGGGGTAAGAATTTAGTAATGATTAGCTAGGCTCAATTAAATTAAATTCATGTAAATTAGGCCTGATCTGCCAGAAATCTGGTTACCCCGGAATCAATCCCTGTTCCCTTCGTCGTTAATTGAGAAGAAACCACTTTTATTTTAATCGTTCATCTGCATTAGTTTAATTTTAATTCAACCAATCATATCTCGCACGATGCATTTATTTTATTTATTTTTAATCGCTGAATTTAATTAATTCTTGATTCCCTTTTGTCCGTCCCTGTGGAGACGATACTCGTACTTACACCACTATATTACAATCTTTTTAAGTGCGAGAAAACTCACATCAATATTCAAGACGCCTAGTATAGTATGGATGAGTTGGACTGCGGTTGTCTATTCATACTGTACGGCGGGTTGTTGACGTGTCCGGTAGGTTCGGGGTCTGACATTAGTGGCTGTGAATATTGAAATGAGTGTTTTACTATACTAAAATGAGTATAATGCTTAAAACAATTGTGTATGAGTGAAGCATTATTAAAAAACGTAAGAAATGAGCATTGATAGGGTAACAGGTACGGGGCGGGGAATACCCGTTTTGTTTTTACGGGCAATGGGACGGTTAAAGCTTTAAGCATGTCCGTCTCATTACCCGTCCGTACCTGCCCAGTTTATTTTTAGTTATATTTTTATTACATTCTTATCTATTATTTGTCCCACAACTAATAAAAGCTTGATGAAATTTTTCTATTTTTATTGTGTATATATGGATAATAAATGTACTAAGTAAGAACATATACTATAATAGCTTAGAAAGAATTAACATAAAAATGTACTAAGTATAGTGTTTTTTTTAAAGAGGGATTTTATTGATAAAAGGAGTACAAAGAGAGATAAAAAAAACACAGAAAAGGAAAAATTACAGAAGCGCAAAAAGGGAAATAAAAAACTAAAAAAATCTAGGTCCATGGAAATTCCTTGGTTTGAGACCTAGTTCTCATACTGTGCCGCCTTTTGTTCTTCTGGGACTTCCGGTAAATTTTAAGCTGGGTGTTCAAATTGTCAGTTGGAAGGCAGTTTTCTGAAGTAATGAGCTGTGATTTACGGCAAATTGCTCTGTTGAATGTGGAATCCCTTATTTGTTCTTGTTCTGAAATAGGTGGTCTACGGTCGGATTCCGTTGCGTGTCCCAGAAAATCGTCTGAAAAATATGAGTCATCTGATGGGTCAAAGCTGTCTGAGGCATCTGAGTAAGCCTGTAAGAGTGATGAGATAAGAGGTTGTTTCTCAGTAGACGCGGTTTTTTGCTTCTCGACATAGGCTCTTTGGACTTCAAAGTTGAATATAAGTTTGGAAATGGAAGTCAGTTCCGCCGAAGTCTCGAACTCTGAATGCATAGGTTCTTCCTGCACCAACTGAGGCTTTCCAACAAAATTAGAAAAAATAGCCAAAAATTTTAATAGGCTGGATTTTTGTGGACCCATAGAAAAAATGATAGAACTCCCTTTTTCCTTCGCAATCTTCAAGCACCAATCTGAGTTGATATATTCAGAAGAAACTGTGACCGGGCCGAATTTCCTTTTGCTGCCTAAATTTTGAGTGGTCATTACTTGTGAATTGGGAGATAAATCGGATGATTGGGGGGACGAGATCAAGATTGAAATTAATCTTGTGGAGTTTCAAAGATGACCAAATCACCATTTCGAACTGCGAACTTATAGAGTTTAGAATCAATTCTAATTGAATCAAACCCTTCCTCTCCAAAAAAATAATACTTATCTGAGTCCACAGACAAAGGTTCTGATTCGGTCCAAGTGCTTCCCGTCGTTACCAAAGATGTGCTCCCCTCGAATATAATTAATTGTTTATCCTTGGAGAGAAAATCTAAATCTTTGTTAATTATGGAACTAGTGGCTGATAATCGCACAGCCCTATCCTTTCCGTTGTCTGGACTGCCAGAGAGGTTGCAATCCTTGTTGGGTCTCAGGAGGTCCGCCCACGTGAGAGTGTTTGCTCTCGTCAAGATTCCAAAACTGTGTTAGTACCCTGTGTTTGTTTCTTGAGGCATCGATGTCACTGGATGTGGTTCTACAGCAAGCTTATCCGCCTCAAGTTCCGGGGTTGTGTCTGCTGAGGGCCCTGGAGTCGCCGGCGTAGAGTTCACCGGTCGTTGGTTAGAGTTTCCGTCATTAACAGCAGGTGTTTCGAAGTCAAATTCATTCTTGTTTTGTCGGTTTTGAGCATCCCCATTTCTTCTCCAATTTCGATTTAATCCAGCTCTATTCTGAGAGGTGTAGTAAGGTCGAGGTTGTTCGTTCTCAATCGGTTGTGGGTAAACTGATTCAGGCTGTACATCCTCAATATCTAAACAAAGGTAGCAGTTAGAAATACCTGGTAGTCCGCCGCGATGCCCAAGTGATTGCGCCGAGTCGTAGCGCTAAGCTGGTTGTGGCTGTAGCTGACGGTGCGCCAGGCTTCTCTTGGAGCAATTCGATTTGCTTGTGCCGGCTGTTGGTGAAGAAAACGGCGTGCTTTGAACTGTCGACCCTGTACGTTGTGGTCTGGGAAGCGTTCGTGCCTGATGTTGTGCGATTTGTGATAGTGAGCATACCTGAGATGATGTCCGTCTCCAGTTCTCTCGGCTCTGGGTCTGAAGAGTTGATGTTCGTATATGCTGGGTTGTGATTTTTGTCGGCTTCTTGGAAAAATCTTATCACAATTCCTTAGTGGGTTTCTCCTATGCTGGCAACAACAGTATTCATTGTAGGAGTAGGTGTCCCAGTGCCATGGAAGAAGATAATCCATACTCATAGCAGAGTTCACAAATGTTCCACCGGAATTCTAGTGAGGGATGGGAGAGTCTCTCTCATCTCTCATAGAATAGTCTTTCAATTGTTCAAATGTACTAAGTATAGTGTATGCATGTAAGTTCGCAATAGATCTGAATAGTCTTGTTTGAATAATATCATATTTTTTCATGATTCATTATTTTTCAGATTAAGTATTTTTAGCTTCAAATTAATTTAGGTTGTCTTATTTTTCGTCTTGTAGATATACGAAACTTTAAAGTGGCGTCTGAGTCTAGAATTGTCTAGATAATGTCATTTTTCATCTGTTAAAATATTATTTTGATTAAAAAATATTAATGACTTATTTAATAATGGAATTACTCATAGCTATACCCGTTATCCGTTGGACGGTTATAATTTGGGTAAAAACCAATTGGATAATGAGGCTATTATGAGAGGAGAGAATTACCAAACGAGCGGGTACGGTTGTACTTAAGTCATCCCCATCCATGGATTATTTTGGGAATCATTTTGATGATGATCTTTTTGGGAACATGGATGAGGAGTTGAGATTATTTTAAAATTCTAAAGCTGAATTATCTTTTTGGGGATATCAAATTCTAAAGCTGAATTATTTTGAGATTATTTCCAAAATTATAGTGATGATTAGCTTTGTAGTTCGTGCATGCTCTTATTCGAGGTAAATTAAAATTATGAATGAGGAGAAATATAATGATTATTGAGATTATATTATGTAGGCAATAATAAACCTACCTTAACATTGAAAATTATCAATTGATCTCTTAGGGCATCCCCATTGGTAGGATTATTAAGAGATTAGGTAAGTGACATGTCAGATTTTTTAAAGGAGCATCATTGAGAGACATAAATTATTTAATGAGATTATTTGCTATAATAATCCGGGATCAAAATATGAATCCAGATTATTTTAAGATTATTTAAAAAGTATATGTAATAGAAGTTAATGCAGGAACGAAAAAATCTGATTATTTGACGAATAATCATATTTTTTCTATGATTATTAGAGAATGTAAAACCTTTCCAGATCCGCCCATTGTCATCCCTGCTCGCTCTCATAATTACCAAACGCTTAGGCTATGTTTGGTACAATTAGTTGAAAAGATCTTTTTGTGAGCTTTTTAGTAACTGTTAGCTTTTAATGACTGAAAAGATCTTAAAAGTAAAAGGTGGTAGCTGTTTGGTAAAAAGCTGACTGTTTGAATTAGTTCTGTTTGGCATACAAGCTGTTAGGATTTATTAAAGCTAAAAGTCACAGACTTTTCTCAGATGCTACTACCTGTAGCATCTCAAAAAAGAGCTTTTATTTTTTGAAAAGCTCTTAAAAATTGGCGTGCCAAACAAACAACTAACAACTTTTAGAGACTTTTTAAATAGTACAAAAGTCAAAAGTATAGACTTATGTCAGCCAAACATAGCCTTAGTATAAATTGAGGGCCGCCTTCAACGGTGCTCGTCTTCCTCCGAAGTTTGCCCGCTCACTGGCTCTGCCTAGCCCTAACTTTCAAATTTGAAGAACTTCTACTATAAGGCTGTATGTGTATCACTTCGCATTACATGGTTTCAATACTCCGTATTATATATGTTCAATTCAATCACTGCACACTCTCAATTGCTGCCATCAGTTTTGTTTCCAAAGGAATCACACCTCTAATTTTCTATGTGAAGAATACCATTTGATTCATTGTTTCGTATATCTTGTAGTGGTTGATATTTGCAGTTACCTTCTTCCTGCCCACTTCTGCCTTTTACAATTTACGTAGTATACGTCAATTCAACTATAGTTTTGGGTTTATGTTTTTTATTATAATGTGATTGGTTCCTTGTATTTGGCTTGTTTACTTTAAGGTTTAAGCTAGGGGTGGTTCGGTCCGGTATACCAAAGATTTTATCCCATACCTTTACCATACCTTAAACTTTCGGTATGCAAAAATACATACCGTTATCATACCTTAATTTTGGTATACCTTGTTTCGGTATACCAAAATTTCGGTACGGTAAGCTTTGGTATCGGTAAATTATCATGATTTAATATCAAATTATTATTTATCAAATGAAATATAGAAAATCAGTGTTAATAGTGATATACTAAAATTATTAATGAAATTAATTATAAAATACCAATGATAACCTATATGTGTTCTATTCAACTTTGAACAAAAATATATTATAAATATGTACAGATACTTCAACACATGACATATGAAGATAACAACACATTCTCCTAAAATAATAATTTAAACAACATAAGTATATTTGAAATTACATCGATCTCCAACAAAAAGTATAAATAATTCAAGAAACATGGATATAAAGTCATTATCCTTGAATTAATGTTGTGTTTGTAGTTATTTTTATAATTTTAAAGAAATTATTGGCTTGGAATTATGGTATGACGGTATAATGGTATACCGTTTATTTCCAAAATATATACCGATACCATACTGAAGAAATTCGGTACGGTATCATACCGTACCAAAAGTGTCGGTATACCAAACACTTCGGTAAATTCGGTATTTTTCGATATGGTAAGTCTGGTATACCGAAATTTCGGAATTTCCCCCCACCGGTAGTTTAAGCTATGGAGGAGCGAGACAGGAACATTGAACTTCCTGCAGATATACTTGACAAGATTATGGGAAAATTGTGGCTTGGAGAAGCTGCTAGAATGGCCGTCTTAAACACTGTTTGGAGAGATGCTTGGTTTAATCTCACTAAGGTTGTTTCTGATGATTCCTTCCATCATAACATTTACTCAGATTTTGATGATAACCCAGCCACATGGCATGATACAATCAATGATGACCTCAAGAAGCACAATGGAAATATTAAAAAAATTGTCATTTTTTTTAAATGTCTGCAGGTATGTATATGTGAATTCGATAAGTTGTTCCTTTCTGTCATGAAAAAAGGTGTTCAAGAACTGGACATTCAGATATTCAATGCTGATGGTAGGAATTACCCTCTGCCATCCCGCGTCCTTAAATGCCCTACACTGAAGACTTTTCATGCTTGTAGTGTTAAAATAGACCCGACAAGACCCCGTTGCATATTCCCTAATGTCACTTCTCTTAGTTTTGATGGAGTTCATTTTGATCCAAGTAATCAACTTAATGTTGTGGATCTTCCAAAGCTCCGAAGACTATTATTTAGAGGATGTAAAAACATCCCTCATTTCAATATTACTGCTCCGAAACTTGGTAGTTTATCAATCCAAGAATGTTACATTGGCCGTGATCATGATGATGACAATGACTGCCGTAGTGATTGTGATGATGAGGATTACTATCTTGGCGATGATGATAAGGATTACAACTCTGACGACGATGACTACCGCTATGCAGCCAATAATGACGATGTAAGCTGCTACAATGACAGTAGCTATAATGGAGGTGATGGTGATAGAAATATGTTTTGCTATTGCCCTGCCAATGGAAAAGACAAATCAAGTAGTGGTTTTCTCCCTACGTACTTGGATTTGGGATCTGTTCGTTGGCTTCATTTGTGTTGTGATGCTGTTGGGGTATGTGTTTTAACTTTTAAGCCTATTCAAATATTAAATGTTTTATAGCCAATGGTCCAATTTTTTTCCTATTACTTTTGCAAGGGTGTTGTTGATGATCTTGGCAGAATGGGACCTCAAATGACAGCGTTAGACGTGAAATACCTAAACCTTTCAGGTGTCTACTTTCCAGATTCTGATAATAACTCTAAGTTTATTAAACTGCTGCGAAGTTGCCCAAAATTATACAAACTTGAAATATGTTTTCAGGTAATTTTTGTTTTCATGTATGAATTTCTTAGTGACAGTTATACCTATGAACTAATCACAGATCACTGGTTCAGTTCTGTTACCCATCGTGTGTAAATGCTGAGTTGATCATATTCATCGTTTTTTATGTAGCTCCAAGAATTAGACTTGCCTAGTCGTCGTGAGAGTGTTTCTCGTCTCTTGGAAGGACTTCACAAGCTACATCACATACACAACACTGCAAACATTGAAGCTTGGCTTATACTCAGGGTCCAAAACCGACATGCAATTTATAACAGGACTGATAGGCTGCTTCCCGACATGTAAAAAGGTGTTTATTTTCGGCAGGTAAGGTTCCCGTCCAAGGAGAAGGCGAAGATAAGAAGGGAGATTTTGTGTTCTAGCCGTGCCTCATTAACAGAAAAAGTTTATCTGAACTTCTGAAGTAAGAATCCTTTTGGGTTTTATGCATCTCCTAAACCCTCCTGATATGCAATGGAAGGGAAGCTGATTTCTTTTGCTCTTAAACAGCAATGGTTTCAATATATATTATTAGAAATGGTAGTTGTGTTTGTAGCTGTTTTGTTAGAACGAAAGTGAGTTTAGTATTGTGATAGGACCCAAGTGCACAGACTGGTAAGCTTTATCTTGCTGTTCGTAATTGGGGAGAGAACAAATATGCTCCTAAGTACTAGGGCTGGGTCCGAAAAACCGAAAACCGAATCAAATCATACCGAACCGTAACCAAATAAAACCGAACCGCTAACAAACCGAAACCGAATGTAAAAAACCGAACCGAACCGTAGTTGTTTGGTTCGGTTTTGATTTTTATTTTTCAAAACCGAACCGAACCGAACAAACCGAACTAATTAAAATATAAAATTTATTTGTCAATTGTTAAGCATTAATCCTAACAAATCCCAATATCATTAATAGTCTTTGGTTTTCTTGTGCTAGAGAAATAATGTTTGTGCTATGTTTAGTTTAGTTTATAAATTCATTTACACATTCATTGTCCGTAATAATGTAGCTATACGGAATGATGATAATATGTTTTTACTAGTTATTAGTATTAATTAACTTTTATTTTTATTTAACTTAAATAATTCATATTGATGAAACAATAAATATTCATCTCAAGTATATCACATAGAACGTATATAACTATATACTCATGATTTTTTTTAACTAGTCACAAACAATGTGGATTAATGATATATACTTTTATCTCTCTCGCATACTCATGTAATACTATGTATATGTTTGATCCCTCAAAGTATTATAACAATTTTAAATCAAATGATAATTTTTTGGCAAAAAACCGAAAAAACCGAAACCGAATCGAAACCAACCGAACCAATCAAACCGTGGTTCCAAGTTTTGAAGTGTAAAACCAAACCGAAACCGAACCGAACTTTTTACTTTGATTCTATATTTGGTTTTAGGTCAAAACCGAACCGCAAGAACCGAACCCACCCCTACTAAGTACCCTCCCTCCGCTTTATGTTAGTTATTCCATGTTCCATTTCAGCTGATCCATATTACTTGTTTAACTTGTCTTTTGGAAATGTCACGTCATAAAAGCCTCTACAGAGTCATGTTCATATATTCACATGCCAATAATATTGCCCATATGAGCCTTTTTCGTATGAATGACTGTAAAACTATGATCACTATACTAAACTGATAGAATTACAACTAGTAATAGTATAACTATATTAAATGATTAAATCAAGAATAATAAATTAGGAATGTGTGGATAAATATTAAAACATCCGGAATGACATCGACAGTGTATATGAATATGAGATTCAATACAAAATGTCATTTCTAGGGATTCGGTGAGGAACGAATTGATTATAAAAAATAGTTTTTTTTGGAAAAATTACACTTTAAATGTATGATTTATAACACTTATTGAAATGTAGAAAATGTTTTGAAATAATGACAAAAGGGATCGAGACTAACGACTTTTATCCGGACAAAACAAGACATAATTTTATTTAACTAATATAGTACCCGTGCTTTTCCATCATTTGTAATGGAGCCAAAGATTCTTTATTTTTTGGTTGGAGAATATGATGAAATAAAGCAAAATGGCTCAGTAAATTGTCTGCGCTTCTTTGTTATGAAGCAGCAATTACTCCATGCAATTTTAGACGCGATTTTCACTATTTGTCATCCGGAAATAGTCTCTCTGTGCTTTAGTGCAGGGGTAAGTCTGCATACATCTGACTCTCCTTATCCCACCGTAGGTGGAAGCCTTTGCGGCACTGGGGTAAATGAAATTGATGAAATAAATGATGAGTATAGTATGTGTGCGATGCACGATTGATAACTTTTTATTCATTTACGGAATATTAAAAAGCAAATGATAGAAAACATAAAATATTAGTCTTTTACAGAGCGTGAAAGACTATATACAGGGCCGAACCTTCCCTTGATGCAAAGAGGCAATTGCCTCAAGCCCCACAATTTTGGAAAAAAATTAGGGCCCAAAAATATATTATCTTATTATATATAGGACTTAATTGACCTTTTTATGAAAGTTCGAGGACCTATTTGATAGTTTTCCCATTTATAAATCCTAAACTTACGAACTATAATTAATTAATTAATTAAAATACTAATTTGGAAAGAGAATCTAGAAAATTGTAATAAATGTTTGCTTAGAAGATGACACGTGACAAAACTTTCCCTAATTGTATCTTTGGATGTGCATAATAAATATATTGATGCTTTAATAGAGAGTATCAGCTAATAGAAAAGTTGATGTGGCAGGGAGTATTAGTGGGGTACTTTGTTCTTTACACATCCCCAGCCGACTACTTAACTACATGCAATTCATGTGCAAAAACTTTGTAAGCAAGCAACTGCTCGGGAATATAATTTCTTTGCACAATAGCCGCCACTTCAAGTGACGGCTTTTGTACTGCACCTTAATCGTGGTTAACTGCAACAGTATTTTAGGAATTATTTTTAACCAGTTGGTATTTTGGAAATTATTTATTTAATTAGCATTGTTCCGGGAAAAAACTCTAATTATTATTAATCAAATCGTGGCTCAAGGCCTGCAAAATACAATCAAGAGGGCTAAACAACCAAACTTGAATCTCTTATTAATGAATAACAAGCTATCTATCTCTTATTATTCTCAACTATAACAAGCTAACAAAATTTGAATGAAACGACCTCGCAGATTACAGAAAAGCAGAAACATACATTATACAACGAATTTGACAGTGGTCTCTGAAGCGTGTCGACAAGAGCCATATTTCCACAAAATACGTGAATACCAAAAAGTCAAGCCTCTTCCAACTTTAAGCGAGGAACGATATTCATCGATTGAAGCTCCTGTAAACATGACATCACCAACAACATTTAAGGGAAAACGGTATTCCACTGAATTTCCTTATCTCACGGCACGGGTGATAAAATTAATACTGAACTTTATCCCTTTTTAGTTAGTCATCTTTGAATTTTCTAGTCTAAGATAGGAGTAATAAATTGTGATCAATCATTTTAACTAATACGCACTCACTACTCATAGTATTTTTTTGAAAAACTTATAAATTTTATACTTTCATATTACTATTTTTAATATAGAACATTTTATATTGGTTCCCTAGCCGCACATTGGTGCTTTCCCAAAGAAGATCACACATCATATCTCAATTTAGCTTTAGGCAAAGACACAGCTCTCTCGCTCTAAGCTTAAGGTTTCGTATTTCCGTTGTGCCATGTGCAACCAGTTTTAGGCAGATTTTCTGGCACCTCTTTAAGGGGCAGCGGTGAAGTTCCGGCTACAGGGTTTGGATAAAGCGTGCAAGGCATGTCTGTTGGGGATTTGGCATGCGTCAGAGTGCAAGCCAGAGCATACAAAAGACGATGAATGTTGCAGAAAATCATGGACAATTATGGACGCAGCACGGGCTATGAGCAGATGGGGGATCAGTGAAGGACTGATCAAGGGAGAAGACATATCGACGGTTCGCCCCCTCCTAAACCGCCTCCTAGGTCTCTTGCGCAAGTCGTTTCGTTAAAGTACTCTGATTTAACTTTTGGCTTTTCCTTTAATTCATTTGGATTATGTTTTTATCGGATTGTGTTTATCGGGGTGACTCTTGTTTGATTTTTATTGTTGTCAAGTGGCAAGTACAACATAGCATAAGTGAAGAGAATATATCAACGATCATGATTGATTTACAGTTGTCTAAATGGAAATTAGTGAATCCTATTGCTCCTTAATGGGTGATAGTTTTTTAGTCTGGTCACAGAGCGTATGATCGAGTAATGTATTCTGGTCTTTCTTGCTTGTCTACTATGTCTGGTCTTGTTCTTGTTAGGTTGGATTGTATGATTTTAATATAAGCAATTTTCTCCCCAAAAAATTATTTGAAGGAGTGCGAGATTGATACCCCAAACTTTATATAAAATGTTATTTTTGTACAACTGTTGTATGTCTTTTACAAATATAAATTTATTGCAATACGTACATAATTTAAAATTTAAAATACTCCAAACTTTGTTAGGGTGAAGTAAACAATTTAAAATTGAGAAAAGTGTCAAATAAGCCCCCCTACGAAAATGTCAATTAAAGACACGAACCCAAACAACACCCAATTAGACCCACAAACACGCAAAAAAAAAATCAAATTGGCTTTTTAGCCTGTAACATTCCGGTCCATGTGAAAACGTATGACGTGGCATTTAATTTTTGTATTTTCTCCTTTTTCTTTTTGCTTTTCCTTTTCTTTCTTTGTTTTCCTTCTTTCTCTCTTTCTTCCCCCATTCCCTTTCCTTCTCGAGCCGACTCCCCCTCTCCTGCGCCTCTTTCTTTCCCTTATTTCCCTTTCTTTCTTTCTTTCTTTCATTCTTTATTTTACAATCACCAATATGTCCGCCCGTTGGATCCCAATGCTGATCTTCTTCCCCGGTCAACCTCCGGCGAAGCCATAGAAATCGGTCCGAGCTCCGGTCGTCTTCTCCGGCCAATTTCCGGCAAAGAGAGCGCCTGCCTCTTCCCCAATCGCTGTCCTCTCTTACCAATGTTCCGTCACATGATGTGCCGATCTTCTCCATCAATTTGTTCTTTTATATATTGTTCTAATTTTTCTTGTGTATCCATGGATAGGAAGGGTATGTCAAAACCCAAACAATAAAGAAAAGTGAGAAACTGGGAGTAGCCTGGAGTTGTGATTAAGCAAAAGTGGAAGTGATTAAAAATGAAAGCAAAAGAACTCAGGGAACAGGAGGGAGGGAACAGGAGGGAGTAGCAGGGCGAAGAAAGAGTCAACGACAGAAGAGGGGAAGGAAGGAGAAAAGAAAGAAAAGGGGAAAAAAATGCCACGTGTCGCCATGTGTCGCCATTTATTTGATGACCGGAGATTACTTAGCAAAAAGCAAATTTGAACATTTTTTACAAGTTCACATGCTTAATTGGGTGTTATTTGAGTTCATGTCCTTAATTGACATTTTCGTAGTAGTAAGAGGGCTTATTTGACACTTTTCCCTTTAAAATTTTATTTGTGAAATAAATAGTATTACATCTAGTACAATCTAGTTTTAAGTGCATCCTCAAAAATGTTTGCGTATTTTAAATTTTAAATTATGCACTTATTATTGATTGTTGAACATGCACATTGGGCTAAGCATTTTGGAATATATTAGTTTGTGTA